CCTGGATCCCCCGTCCAGGACTGAAGCACGTCGTCATTCCTCTGCTGTGGGAGTACTGGTGAACTGGACAGTAAATACTAGAAGTGAGTGCACTGTGGTTTGAGAACGAAAGAGTAAACAATAATTATTATAAGGACTATGGAATTTCACATCTTTTGCTGGGGGATATCAATGCTTCCCAGAAAATAAATGAAATGCTGAAAGTGATTCATCACTAAGTATGAAAGTATCACAAAGTATGAAATCCAGAGGACCTCTTTGGCAGAGACTCCTATATCCTCCAACTCCAGAGAAGACTGAACTATCAATCTAAGCCTCATGTGTTTTGCCAACATCAAGACCCTGGTTGAGAATTATTAGAATCTGAGATTTGGGCTGGGATATAATTGGGTCAATGCACTTGAAAATCCTGAACCCTGAGGTTCCCTTGAAAAATCTAGTCTGCTCTTTACAGGTAAAGGTTTGAACTCGCCTCTTGCCTGAAAACCAAACAGTAATGTTTGCCTTAGAAGACAACATATATCCCTGCTTAGGATATACTCCAACTCTCTTCCTGGCCATTATGCTGACAACTAGGTCTAGGTTACAACACAGCCCAGCTGAGTTAACTGTGACCTAAATTTGGTCATTAGCAAATGGCCAGTAGGAGAGATAGGGTATATCCTCCATCCAAGGGAGCTGCAGGAGCTAGCCAACAACATGTACCCCCAGGAGACAGGAGAGAACACCTGGGCCAGGATTCTGAATGTGCTGGTTGAGAGGGATATATGAAACATAAAATTATGAAGTTGAGAAGGCATGAAATATGAAGTTAGATAAGGGAAATGTTATTGGCAGAAAAACATTTTCCCCTTATATGGATTTGATTTACTGTCAAGGAACCTGCAAGATGCTGCCTCTAGTATGATGCTAAGGTGACTAGCGGAAGCTCAAACAAGCAGTAGCCCCCATAGAAAGTGCTTCTGCCAGATGGAAGACATCTGCAGGAGATTTTTTATTATTATTATTTATTTAGGTACTGGGGATTGGACCCAGGGGTACTCTACAACTGAGCATATCCCCAGCCCTCTTTAATTTTTATCTTAAGACGGTGTCTTGTTAATTTGATGAGGCTAGTCTCAAACTTGGGACCCTCCTGTCACAGGCTTTCAAGTCACTGAAGATTGCATGGTTTCCCACACACCTGGCTTCTGCTGGAGAATATTAACATGATTGATGGGACACCTCATATGTAAACCATAACACATTTATATGGGACAGATAATTATACATATTAATATACTTTCTCTGAGGCTATGCTAACTCTCCCACCCTCTGTCATAGAATAAAAAAAAAAAATCTGGAAATCCCAAATAATGATATCAATCCAGTATATTAGTGACAACATGTTTATCTAATCAGATTAACAACAAGTGACAAATCCATTAGAAGTCTTGGTAAGTCACATGTAATTCACTGATGGGACATAAATATTTCAATGACTCAGTAAGTGGGTTTTTTGCTTATTTGTTTGTTTGTTTGGGGGGGCAGGATAGAAAAATTTCCAGCATTAAAATTATTTCAATAATTCATCTCCAAATAAGTGGAGATGCCTGTAATCCCAATGACTCCAGAGGCTGAGGCAGAAGGATTTCAAGTTTGAAACTTAGTAAGACCCTCAGCAATTAACCAAGACCCTGTCTCTAAATAAATAAATAGCTGGGATGTATTTCAGTGGTAGAGCACCCTTGGGTTCAACCCCTATACCAAACAAAATGAAACTATTTTACAAATTAATCGGGTTGTGAGCTCAAGTGACTTAATAGTAACTCATTTGGGACTGGAAACTAGATTTATTTATATCCTTTGATGATCTGACTCCTCAACTCTCAACTTAGCAAGGCCTTAAGCAACTTAGTGAGACTCCGTCTCAAAATAAAAACAAAAAGGGCTGGAAATGTGGTCTAGTGGTTAAGTGCCTCTGGATTCAATGTCTGGTACAAAAAAAAAAAAGCTCAGGGGAACTTTTATGAGGACCAGGCAATACCCTGAGGTGGCCTGAGAATCTTTGACCTCTATGAAATGGAAATGTTGAAGAAGATTTCCAGTTCCTTGGCCCTCCAACCTGCAGAGTGCTCTTATTTCAGAGGCACACATTTCACTTTGATCTTGTGATAATTTTCCAAATTTGTTTTCTCACTGTCATCAGAGCTTGTGGCCAGAAAGGATGAACGACAACAGCAACAGGGAGCACAATGGATCCATTCTAGTCACTCCTAGAGCCTCAAACACCCTACTGGCCAAGAGCAGGCCTATTTTTAATGACATCGGAGAAACTGAGTCAGTTTAGGAGACTCCTCTGGAATGATTAAAATCATCCAAGGAGGTCATTACAGAGCAAGAAGATCCTGATGGAGTCAGTGTGATGCTAACATTAAGGGGCACTGGAGCAACAGCCATAGTGATCCTGAGGGCGTGGGCACCTGCACGTGTGCTCAGGGCTTCACACATGTTAAGCAAGGGATGGGGTATGTCACTGATCTACTCCCCATCTTCTGGGTACTAATCTTAAAGCTCTGTTTACATAGCACTACATTACCTTGTTTTGGTTTTTCTGTTGTTTGTTTCGGCGGGGCGGGGGGGGGGGGGGGTGGGTGGGTTGTTTTGGACTTTTTTTCAGAGCCAAGAACTGAACCCAAGTTCTCGCACATGCTAGGCAAGTGCTCTACCCCACCAACGCCAAGATTGCATGCTACGAATATTAATGTAGGAAGGCTTCACAAAATTTCTGTTCACATTTCATAAGAAGGAAAAACTCTTTTTTGTTCAAGATGCAAATTTTGAGGAGGAAATAGACAATAATTTCAAATGTCAAGGATCAGAGATGAAATAGAGCTGAAAAAAGGGATTTGTGTGCACTGCTGACCCTCAAAGAGCAGTACCTTAGTGTTGGGACAGACCCCAGATTACAGAGCTGCAAGAGCCAGAAGCACTGAGCTAAGTGAGCTCAATGGAGTTTTCTCAAGGCTCCAGGAAGTGTAAGCAGAGAGGGCCTGGCTATTAGCTATCCTGGGTATGAGTAGCCTGACAGCACTCCTATTTATTGAGCTTCAGCTGTGTCATTTCCTAGATATGTGCACATCACATATATTTCCACATTTAATCCTCACACTACTTCATGAGATGAGTGAAACCCTACCCATCTTGCTAATGAACTCATTTGCTGAATGAGTTCCAAAGAGGTTAACTTTCTAGTAAGCAGGAGTTAGAACCCATCTGTTTCCAAAGCTCTTTTTACAACAGTCACATGCCTGGTAGAGCCAAGGGAGGGTTGACTAGTTGTTATTTTAAGAAAGGAGAGGCTTAGGCACGGTCATTGGCGGAAAGGAATAAATCCTCCCTAATGCCTATGCAAAACCTCCCACTCTGCCACTCTTGTCTTACCAGCTCACTCTCTAGTTCCTGAATTCCAAATGTATTTCACCCTACCAATATCTGGTCTGAGAAGACAGAGGTGGGGCCAGGTGGGACCAGGTGGAGTGAGAATGTGGTTAATGGGAATCACAATAAGCTCAACCTGCCTAGTTTGGTGGCACACTGCTATGATCCCCACTAGTCCAGAGGCTGAGTCTTAAGAATCACAAATCTGAGACCAGCCTCAGCAACTTAGCAAGACCCTATCTCAAAATAAAAATAAAAAGGAATGGAGATGTAGTTCAGTGGTAAAGTACCCCTGCATTCAATCCCCGGTACCGGGAAAACCAAACAGAACAAAAACAAACATCAACTATCTTTTTTCACATGCTTTGTCTTCAGGACAAGTCAAGCTGTAAGAAACATATTTCCCACTGCAAATGTGTGATCTACATTGTGAGCTACGTCAGTTTTCTGTTTATTAAAATATAGCTGGGCACAATGGTGCACACCTCTAATCCCAGCAGCTTGGGAGGCTGAGACAGGAGAATCAAAAGTTCAAGTCCAGCCTCAACAATTTAGAGAGTCCCTAAACAATTTTTTGAGACCCTGTCTCAAAATAAAGAAAAATTAAAAGGGTTGGGGATCCAGTTCAGTGATAAAGTGCCCCTGGTTCAATCTTTAGTACCAAAATAAAATATCTATAGATAGGACTCCAATCAAGAGTGGGCACTTGCTCCAGCCATTTTTCCCAGGACTGTTCCTATTCTTTACGTCCAAATCCATATAGCATTAGCAACTGGAATCACCTCCCAGCTCCCTCCCCCTAAGCCCCCAACCCCAGAAGCACTAACCAGATCAGATAGCACCTTGGACACCTGATCCCCTCAAAAGAAAAGTGAAAGGGAAGCAGGAGGGAAGAATCAAAAATTGAAAGATCAGTTTGGTACTAGGCACTAGGCATCCTTTACATATACTGGTTCATTTAAGCCTCACATACCCACTCTGAGTTATGTATTAGTGAAATAACTGAAAATACCACTTGATAAACAAAATCATTTATCTGAAGATCTGAATTTAAGGTGAATAGGTGGGAGGTTCAGACCTGAAACTAGCTTTGCCTGGTCCTGGAGTCTGGGTCCGCCATTGGGAATTGGAACATCTGGATTGGGTCCCACCTAAAGTGCATTCTGGCCAAATGGTCTGAAGCACAAAAATGTCCTCAGCATAAGGCAATTTCACCTCTCCAAAGTCCTCAGCCCAGAACTAGGCTGTTGGAGTTTATAGCCAATGATTTTTATTATGGATCCTAATTTCTTTAGCAAAGAAACATCTTGAACTGGTCATGAACAAAGTGACTTTCTCTGACCAGTGAGCAGGTGGCTATTCCATTTCCATCCTCAGAACTGACCTCCTGCTGCCCAGGGAGGGGGAGTGGGGAGAAGGGAGGGTGAGGAGAGCCTGATGTCACTCAGCCCTACATAAGGGCCTCTTTTAGGATCCTGCAGGCAATTTGGAAGCAGCTGGAGGAGCGAGTTAGGTCCTGGTTGTGGGATTTTTTTTTTTTTCTTTTTAAAGACAGACACAAACACAGCTGTTGGGTAAAAATGCCGCCTCCACAGAAAATCCCAAACCTCAAACCTTTCAAGCAGAGGAAGAACTTAGGTAAAGTTCTTGGGGGAGCTCGCTGGGTTACCAGAGAAAAAAGCAGAGCAAAAGATGCAGCCTGCTCTTACTGTCTACTTATTCTTTTGTACTTGAACTGTTCACAGCAACCAGACAACAGGAAGTTGCTGGAATCCGGGCAAAGTTCCCAAACAAGATCCCGGTAAGACTCCATTGTACTTCCTTAGTGGGGCCTGGGATCCTGTCCTCTGATTAAATCAAGACCCGCTGGAGGCCTCCCTCCTCTGTTCCAAGTTCCTAGCACTGAGCTCTGAATTTCATTCTGAAGGGCTGAAACTCTTGACAGGTGATAGTGGAGCGCTACCCCAGAGAGCAGTTCTTGCCCCTGCTGGACAAAACCAAGTTCCTGGTCCCGCAGGAGCTGACCGTGACCCAGTTCCTCAGCCTCATCCGGTAAGTGACAGTGCACGCAGGTGCTTGTGTGTGTGTGTGTGTGTGGTGTGTGTGTGTGTGTGTGTGTGTATGTGCCTGTGCAAATGCCTGCTGTGCGTACCTGGGCCTTTTCTTTGTTCTTTGGTTGTTTGATTTGGGGGGGGTGGGGGGGAGGCCTACAGGAGAAGATAGATTGGTTTTTGTGACTCATCTTTATATTTTGTAGTATCCTGAAAAGATACTCTTAGAACTACTCTATTTTAAACAGGTGGGGAAAACCCCCCAGACAACAGTTCTAAAAATCTGCCAAGATTTCTAAGAATTTCCTAAAGTAGTCTTGGCTCCAAGCTACTCCAGAAGAGCCTTTCTTTCAGATACCATCTGAAACCTAGTCTGTCTGTCCCCTGGAGCAATTCCTCCTCCAAGTGTTTGTGCGCCTGGAGGAGCCGGACCTTTTCAGAGGGGAAGGGCTTTTTGCACTGCTCAGAAAATGAAGTTGGAACACAAGACCCTCTCCTCCCTTTGGTTTAAGGTAAAGGCACAGCCAAGAAAATGCAGCTAGTTTTAAAGTATGAGAGAGCCGGGCGCGGTGGAGCACACCTGTAATCCCAGTGGCTCTGGAGGCCCAGACAGGAGGATCGCAAGTTCAAAACCAGTCTCAGCAATGGCGAAACACTTAGCAACTCAGTGGGACCCTGTCTCTAAATAAAATACAAAATAGGGCTGGGGATGCGGCTCAGTGGTTGAGCGCCCGAGTTCAATCCCCAGTACCCCCCCCCCAAAAAAAAAGTGTCAGAGGGTTAAGATGAAAATGTGGAGAAAATAGAGACAGTGGGGAAGTCTTTTTCTTGGTATTTGAGTTTGAACCCAGGGGTGCTTTTCCACAGAGCTACATCCCCAGTTCTTTTCTTTTTAAATATTTGTCTATTTATCTATTTATTTATTGGTACTGCTGAAACAGAGGTGCGTTCCATCCCCAGCGCTTTTTATTTTTTATTTTGTGACAGAGTCTCGCTAAGTTGCTTAGGACCTCCCTAAATTGCTGAAGCTGGATTTGAATTTGCAATCCTCCTGCCTGAGGTTCCCAAATTGCTGGGATTACAGGTGGCACCATCTGCCTAGCTATTTTTATTTTTATTTTTTTAGGTACCTGGGACTGAACCCAAGGGGCACTTAACCAGTGAGCCACATCCTTAACCCTTTTTATATTTTATTTAGAGGCAGAGTTTCACTAAGTTGCTTAGGGCCTCCCAAGTTGCTGAGGCTGGATTTGAACTTGGGATCCTGCTGCCTCAGTCTCCTGACTCTCTGGGATTACAGGCAAGGGCCACTGCACTCAGCTATTTTTTTTTTTTTTTTGAGACAGAATCTCACTAAATTGCTGAGGCTGGCCCCCAACGTGCTTTCCCCCAACTCAGCCTCCTAAATCTCTGGGGATAGGGAAGTCTTCATAGTGTTGAAAAGTCTGTTTGGAAGTACACTCTTGAATGTTTGGTTTTAATTTTTTTTTTTTTTACTCCGTTATATAAAAGCATTCCCATTTTCTCCTCTCAGGGACATTTCTTTGTTAAGGTTAGTCTGGTGTGAATGCAGGTGACTGGAGGTAGAATGAAAGTCAGGGATTATATCCCGGCATCAGGGCTGGGAATGTAACTCAGTGGTGGAGTGCATGCTTGGGGCCATGAGTTCGACCCCCAGCAAGAAAAAAAAATATTCTGGATCCCAACACATTCTGTCAGTACTTAACCCCCCCACTCCACCCCCCAAAAAAGGCCTTTGAGTTTTGAGACTATTCCCTCCTGTGTCACCATCACTCTCAACTTAGATCTCCATCCCAAATTTGATTCTCCTCAATGATTTGAGTGCCCACTGTGTTCTGGGGTGCTTTCTGGGTTCTGGGATGCAGCCATGAACAGGCTAGATAAAGATCCCCTGTCCATAGCCTCCTCCCCCACACCTCTACCCTCATCAAAAGCAAACCTGCAGAAGATGGATATGGAAGCTCTGAGAACAAGAATGCTTCCTTCCCAGCTGGTGGCAACACTCCCAGCCCCAGCTTTCCCTGCCCCCATTGTAGAACAATTATTTTTTACCCAAAGACAGCTGGACATTGTCAGGGCTGGAACATTTGGCGATATGAGTTAGGTGTCATCTGTGGTGGAGGTGAGTCTGACCTTAATGACTGACTTCACATATTATATGGCTGTAAAATGCATCAGGTTCCAGTCACTCCCATCCATCACTGCCCTGTGGACTTAGCCCTCCTGAAAGTTTAAAGCTCTGATGTTGTGAGGGCAACTGTCACCAATTAAAGTGAACAGAAGTGTGTGCTTAAGGTGAGACTGACCCTTCCCCTGGGTTTCTGTGTTTTCATGCCAGATGAATTGGAACTTAACAGCCTTTGATGTTTAAAGCATGTCAACTTTGCTGCCTCCCTATCTCCTTGATGTCAGGGGAGTAACAGCAGGGTAGAGGAAGGATGCACTTTGAGGCAGAAGATCCCCTCCAATGGCCATTCCCAGGCTGTCCAACAATGAGACAGATGCTGGGGAAGATACTTTTAATGTCGGGGCTTATTTGCTTAGAATTTTTGTATTGGCAAGTCTCCTCATTAATAATGAGATTATCTGATACTTTGGGCCTAACTGGGAGTCTGTGTGATTCCTACATCTCCTGGGAAAGGGTAGGGAGCTGGTCAGTCATCTTGAGCATCGTGACCCTATAGATTTGTTGCAGAAAGCTCAGTTCTCATCCCCAATGCCAATGTATTAACGAGGACACAATTTTGAGAAAAATGAAAAAGGTTTATTGCTTTGCTAGCAAAGGAGAAACACAGGGGACTCCTGTCCCAAAGGCTGTGTCCTACCCATCTGCAGGAATAGGGAGCTTTTATAGTAGTAATTCAGAGAAAATGAAATTAGGGAGGAGAGATCAGGGAGAAGTTTAGGGAAAAGAAGATTGGGAAAAAGAAAAATCTAAGTTTCAAAGCCACAAGGGATATAGTCAAAACATCAAGTGAGGGCTGGGGCTGTAGCTCAGTGGCAGAGCTCTTGCCTAGCATATGTGAGTCACTGGGTTTAATCCTTAGCACCACATAAAAATAAACAGATAAAATAAAAATTTCTGTCCATCTATAACTACAAAAAAAAAAAAAAATCAAATGAACCCCTGTTACAGATTCTTGGGCTGCTTCTCAGATCAACCCCTCATATCACCCTCATCCCCATCCCAGGAGCCGAATGGTCCTAAGAGCCACTGAAGCCTTTTACCTGCTGGTGAACAACAAGAGCCTGGTCAGCATGAATGTGACCATGGCGGAGATCTACAGGGACTACAAGGATGAGGATGGCTTCGTATACATGACCTACGCCTCCCAAGAGACATTTGGTTCCTTAGCATCGGCAGACCCCAGTGACCTCGGGGACAGATCTGCAGTCCTCAATAGCCCACTTCAAGAAGAATTTGTCCTCTGAACTGTGCACCAGGTGCTGACGGAAGGAACTGCTTTTCTTCTGCATGGGCACTGGAGGGGCCAGAAGGGGCCAGAGATGGATGGTGCGATGAGCTCCAACCAGTGACAGCCAAGCTGTGGCTCTTTCTGGTTTATCTTTTCTGCGCTCCATGCTCTTATATTCTCTAAGAAAAATATGGGCTTTTGTTAAGTTTTATGAATAGCAACTCTCTTCTGAATAAGAAATGTTTAGCTTATATGATGGTTTTGTATGATGAGCTGGTGATATGAGTTAGGTGTCATCTGTGGTGGAGGTGAGTCTGACCTTAATGACTGACTTCACTCCCTGCGGGGAGGAATCCAATGTGGAGGTAGATTTATGTAGAACCTATGACCCATGATACACTGGTGTTGGTGAAACCAGGTGAAACCAGTGAAAATCATGATCAACTCATTTGGGGGGATCCTTATTTGTCCTTAGAAATAATATTTCCTCAGCATTTACCCTCTTTAGCTATTTCCTCTTACTTCCTTTTGTGTGTGTGTCTATGCCATACATATTCATGTCAAACTTGTAACTTCTCAATATAAAGTTATTAAAACCATCTGAGCATTTAAATCTGTGTGCCAGTCTTTATTCCAAGCACCCTTTGTGCCTTAGCTCCTTATCACAACTCTCTATGGTTAACTATTCTTATCATTTTACAGATAAGGAAGCTGAGGCCCAGAAAAAGTCAAGATCATTTTCAGATTCACACAACACAGTCCACCAGGAGGACTTGAGTTCAGGAAATCTGGTTTTTGAAGCCATGAGCCTAACTCTGTGCTACCTGAAGAGCAGTTGCTCTCCTCGATGAGCGCCTACCAATCCTTGAGCTATGCAGTGTGGGTGACACTAACACGGCCTTGGGGAGCACAGTGTCAACTGGAAGCTTCAGCAGCACTCCTTAGATGCATCAGCAGCAGTAGCAGCACAGCAAGCCATAAATGCTCCAACTGTGTTTGGAGGGAATTGGTAACATAAGGTTTTATGGGAAGTTCAGCTTGAGCTGAGTTATGAAGTGTGTATGAGAATTTTATTTAGGAAAGAGTTTTATTTATTCATATTCAGCAAACATTTATTGAGTGCTTACTTTTTGCTAAACACTATATTGGGTCCTGACAATACAACAATAAACAAAATAGGCAAAACAAAACAAACAAACAAACAAAAAACACCCCAGTCCTCCTTTAATTAAAGGCATGCACAGATTTATTGCAGTGAATCCCAATAATATGTATAATTATAATGCACCAAAAATATGAAAAAAAATCCAATAAAAATAATTCTAGCAAAGAAAGACATGATATTCAAATACTTATTAAGTACAATAAAAAAGATGATGAAGATGGAGATTAGAAGATAAGAAAACAAAATGATTGGCACATGGAATTCATTATCTAGGATAGTCTAAGAAGGAATAATTTTCACTTGGATCAAAATGGTGAAAAGGAGACAGTGGTAGATAAATAGCTTTTGTTGAAGAAGCTGAGGCTCAGAGATGGTGTGATCTCCCTAAGTGCCCTCAGCAGTGCCGTGCCTGGTGTTATCCTCAGCTCCCTTTGAGGGTCTGCTGTTCCTGTTCCAGGCTGCTCCTCTGCCAGCAGCTTTTCCCTCCTTGCTTGCCAAAGAGGACAATTCCTCCAAAACTCATCCTTTGAGTCAGCTTCACCATATGCCAAGTAAAAACATCGTCTCCCGAATTTGTTCTCCAGACGAATCCTTGTTGCTTTACCTTGATCCAGTGAAGCTATTTCCCAAAGAAATCTACTTCTTAGGATTCACTTTGAACTTGATGAGGGCCCTTGGTTCCTAAATATTCACTGAACTGTCCATGGCCAGTGCTGTTCCTCTTGCTTTCAACCATCTTCACCTCTTTGGTCTTCACTGGATCACAAAATGTGGGCTGTCCACTGAGGTATGTCCCCAGCCCTTTTTATTATTATTATTATTTTTATTTTGAGACAGGGTCCTGCTATGTTGCTGAGGCTGGCCTTGAACTTGTGATCTTCCCACCTCCACCTCCTGAGTTTCGGGGATTACAGGTATTCACTACTGTACCGACTGGGTGAGCTCTTGTGTTATGTTTGGTTTTTAAGATGCTCCCTGGTGTAGATCCCTCTCACACATAAACAGTGTGGAGATGTTAAGGATGTCTTCAGTTGCCTTGTTTAGGGTAGGCATTGTTTGGTCCTTAACCAAACCTCAGTGTATGAGCCCAGCAACCACTCTGTTATGCTACTCATGGAGTCTGGGCAAGGGGATTTCAGAAAGTATACAGACAGTAGCAACAGGTTTGCTCTGCTCCAACATGTTGGGGGACTCAGCTGGGAAGATCCAAATGTCTGTGAATGACTCAAAGGTCTGGGAACTGGAATCATCTGGGGGATTTTCGTTCACCTCCCTGACCCCTGGGCTGGGCTGACTTGAGGCTGGGCCCAGTTGAGATTGAGGACTGGCATGGCTCTAAGAGGCCTCTCAACATTGGGGCTGGATTCCAGGTGCAAGCATCATCAGAAGGAACATCTGGAGGCTGGGGATATGGGCCAGAGACAGCTCAGAAGTAAAGCACTTGCCTAACATATTCGAGATCCTGAATTTGATCCCCAGTACCACAAAGAAAAGAAAGATAGAAACAGCTGGAGAACATATGATCCAAGAATCCAAGACAGCAGCTGACCTGTCAGTAGGAGATGGATTTCAATCAATTTTTAGTGTGGATATTTTTTTCTTTTGTTAGCATTTACACTGTTAACTTAAAATTAATTGGCAATTTGTACTCTGAATTATGACCACTTTTAGTCTATTTTAAACTTTCTATTGAGTTTTTATTAGCTGAGTAATAATTACCCGATTCTTTGTGTTTGTTTTTTTTCAATGAAAGATTTTCCCATGAAGATGCTTTTCTGGAGAGAAGGGGGTACCAGGGATTGAGCCCAAGGGTGTTTAACCATTGAGCAACATTCCCAGCCCTTTTTATTTTTTTATCTTGTGACAGGGTCTAACTGAGTTGCATAGGGTCTTGCTAAATTGTTGAGGCTGGCCTCAAACTTGCAATCTTCCTGCCTCAGCTTCCTGAGCCACGGGGATTACAGGCATGCACCACCACACCCGGTTTAGATGCTTTTTATTATATGGTCTTTTCCTTGTGGCTTCTGATATTCACGTTTCCCAATAGACTCTTCCAACTCCAAAATTAGGAGGGGTGTGTGTGTGTGTGTGTGTGTGTGTGTGTGTCTATCCAATACTCTTATTGTTTACATAATGTTTACACTTAAGTGTTTGAAGCAACTAGAATTTATTTTGGTAATAGATGCATATGCCAGGTTCCATTATTTTTCCAAATCTCTAACCTATTGTCACATGTGAATTTACTGAATAATCTCTCCATGGGTGTTTAAATTTTTTGCAACCATGTTTCTATGTCTTAGTAGCACAATAACACCAAGAAAACTCTTAAAGAACATGGACTATAACTGTTTTTAAAGAATTCCTCATTGCTCCCAGCAATGCTAAATACATCTTAGGTATTTAATATTATTAAAATATTAAAATACTAAATATTAATATTAAATATTAATTTACTTGGTGGAAAATTAGAGAAACTGCAGTGTCAACTTCATAGAAAGAAAACAGAACTATTGAGTTTTGATATGAATGACTGTTTTCATAGTGGTTTGGTCAAGCTTGGAAACCACTGATGTTTTTTGGGGGGTTCTCTTTTTGTAATCCATTAGTCACTTTCTCACCTTGATAAGTGGGCCCACATAGAAAATGCAGGTGCTTATATAACCACAAACGTGGGATCTACAGTGCCTATACATGAGATCAGCAAACTAATGCCTATGGGCCATCTGACTTGGGGCCTATTTTTATTAATATTTGTTGGAATGCCATCATGACAATGGTAGTTATCTCTGGCTGCTTTAGGTCACAAAGGCTAGGATGAGTAGCTGTGGCAGAGACCACACAACTTATAATACCTAACATACTTGCTATATGACCCATCATCCTGGGGGTGAAGAATGTTGTTCTGAAGACTGGCATCATCAGCATCATCTTGCAGCTTTTAAAAAAATGTAGACTCTCAGGCCACTTCTCAGAACTACTGACTCACAATCTGCAATTTATTAATCTCTCCAGATGATTCATATGCACATTAGCGTTTGAGAAGCACTGGGCTAGTCTTCTGTGGAAGAAGCAGTCATCTTGTGTGGAAACTCCATTGCTGCTTCTGTTCCCCTCCTGTTGGAAAAGTTCCATCATGATGCTTCATCTACATCCATCTTATTTCTGGCTCAAATTCACATCAACATATTGAGCATGTACCTTGGCCTAGTACTGTATTTATAGACAGTGTGCTGTTGTAGGAAGAGCTGGGACTTTGTTATAAGATGGACTTGGGTCCAAAAGGTGGTTCTGTGATGTGCATGTAGAAAAGTATTCAATCTCTGAATCAGTTTTATCATTTGCAAAAACAAAGCAAACAACAACAAACAGAAAACTCCTAGTCTAGGCTTTAGAACAGGAAGATCTTCTGAACAGGCTATTTGGAAAGATCTGTACTCCTTTAGTTCCAAAGTTTTCTATTCATATGTTCCTCACAAGTGATAAAGTCTCAAGGGCAGCAAGTAAAAGACTACACCTGGAAGCCCAGAGACTCCAGAGGCTGAGACCTGAGGATTGCAAGTTCAAGGCCAGCCTCAGCAACATAGTGAGGCCCGAAGCAACTTAGCAACACCCTGTCTCAAAAATAAAAAGGGGCTGGGGGTGTAGCTTAGTGGTAAAGTTCCCCTGAGTTCAGTTCCTTAGTACAAACAAATAAACTATACCTGGAATTGCATTCTTCACCTCTAGCCAGCTCAAGGCTCAAGAGGCCTCTACTGAAGATTGTCAGAGCTAAATAATACCACTAGATGGCGCCAACAGAGTTCATTCGGATTAAGGTAAAAATTCTTGGTTGCCAACATAAATCCTCCAGT